CCCTCGTGTAGCTTTGCGCGAAATTCAAAAAACAAACAAACAAACAATCACCAAAGCTAAAAATAAAACTTCTGTTGGAAATTTTGTAGGTCGACGAGTTTTGGAACATCTTTCCCCAACTTTAACAAGTTTTGTTAACTATATAGAATAACTCATGTTTGGCCAGTGCAATGGAACAATGTTAATGGGTTTCCCGCAGACACACGTGATGTAGTGGGAGTAGTTTCTATACTTCAAATAGACCTAATTTTCTTCTCTATTATTTGTAACCTACTTTCACCCTGTTCTACAATACACGCATTTATCTGAAGAAAAAAAAAAGCACTAAATTTGTTTAGATATCAGAACTTCCATAGAAGAGGGCCATTAACTACCAGCATTAATCAAGGATACAGACTCGCATACATAATCACTTTTCGATTCCTCCCGCCTTACAGTAACAAAATGGCACACCGTATTCACGATTTTATGACTCCGTCCATTATGCAGTAAAAAAAGTAATCTTAATTTAGTCTCAGGACATCAATAATTTATTATTAGAAGGGGTTGTAAAATTGCTCATGTTTCTGGTGTTGTTACTAAAAGCCAGTTTTCTCGTTTATGCCAAAGCCCTAAGTTCGCTGATTAAAAATTCAGGTATTACTTTAGTATTTATGTAGAACCACATCAACATAAGTCAAAGATGTTAGAAAGAACAACTACCAAATGTTTTTTCAGACGACCCAACCAATAGTTAAATGTCTACCAACTCACTCCTAACACCTTAAAGACACGACACAAAGTTAAAAGACCTACAGATACAAAGTAACCTTAAAAACAATTTCCAAGACCAAACATCAGTTACTCAAAGTTATGAAAGGAGCAGGTACGTTACTTGTTCACACACAAACAATGCTATTTGCATATGTGGCCGAAACACAAATTTCTACATCACAGAATGTCTGACTTATTGTACAGTGGTGCAAAAATGTAGTCAACTTTAAGCAGAACAAAGGGGGGTCGGAGACCAGAGACTACGATATTTAAGTTACGTTAGACACACGCGCGCGCGCGAATACACATATACGACAATTGGGTAACATTTTAACAACAA